CTAGGCTTAAAAACCTTCTTAGAAATTGAGATTAACCACACAACAAAAGTAAAAATTAAAACCTTCTGTAGAAAAAAAATGTTTTATTTTCGTGATCAGGAAAATAGTCTAAATTTTAGAAAGCTAGAAAATGGCTAAATTTCTATTCAAAATCCTAGTGAGATGGATTTGCTTGCTTTTCTTTATGTCAGACATCAAATCTTACCACATTATTGAGATTGCAATACACATTTCTTGTTCAATGTTAATTTTTAACCTATATTTTGACTTCCTCACTGCAAGTGATAAGAAACCAGCTTTACAAAGATTTACAATGCACTCTTATTTATCACTGGCTATTCACCTTCAGTTTGGCACAAAAGCTCAATCAGTGGCCAAGATCTGAACCTTACTGCCAAGGAAACCTTCCCTATAAAGGAAACCTTCCCAGAATGAAACCAGAAAATCAGTAACAAGTTTTTCCAAACTCAGCTGGGTATCTCATTATAAGACTTTATTTTCATAGAATCATAGAAAAGTGAAGTTGGAAAGGGCCTACAAGACTGTCAAGTCCAACCCCGTGCTCAGCGCAGGAATACAATCAAAGCATATCTGCCAGGTGATTATCTTGTTTTTCTTGAATGCCTCCAGTGTTGGAGCACTCACCAACTCCCAAAGTAACTGATTCACTTTTTGTTGCAGTAATTCCAGAACATGTTAATTCTGTACAAATTCCATTTATCTACATCATTTCTAGATTCCATACTTAGAAATAGCAAATCCAAAAATATATCAATGACAGTCTTGCAGTTGTGAGGGGAAAAACAGGGACATACGCTTAAATCCAAGTCACACAGTTATATAAAAAGTGTAGGCTTACTTAAAATACATCCTTGCAACTTGTGAAAAGATGCAGGCATTGAAACATTGGTTACAGGCAAAGTTTGAGCCATATTTGAATCAAAGATACGATAGCATGAAGACATGGGAGCTCACACCCTACAAAAGCGGAGAATACATCTCTAGAACACTTCAACATTCTTAAAAAGCAAAAAACATTATAAAAAGCAAAAAGCCTTAACTTTCAGTGAATAGCATGAAAAATTATTTAAACTTTAAACGTGCAAATATACGGTGAAAAGCATTAATAATCCATAAGTGTGTTGTTAACAGAGAAAAATGTTTTCGCTAAAAAGAGAATTAAGCCAATCTTGACCATCTAGAATCTATGGCTATGTGATGCCCATTGTCTGGTGTAGCGTTATCTCTTTGCCACGCATGAGTTTCATCCTCTGTTACATTCCATTAAAATAAAGCATGTGTCCTTTCTCCGCTCACATTGGATGTTTCTCCATTCAATATCAGCATGTAATCTGTTCCTATTTGTATAGTGGAATGGAATTTTGGGATCAAGGGGAGGCAATAACAAAGTACAGGGAAAGAAGGGAAGAAAAAGGGAGAAACAGTTTGCCAAAATTACCAGCCTCAGTTTGTTGTCTTTAGGATAGCAGAGATGGGCCAATTCAAAGCCTCAACTGGAGTTATGAATTATGTTCTCAGACAACAGATTCTGTGCTAATTTTTCCTGACTATTTATGGAATTTTGGGATCAAGGGGAGGCAATAACAAAGTACAGGGAAAGAAGGGAAGAAAAAGGGAGAAACAGTTTGCCAAAATTACCAGCCTCAGTTTGTTGTCTTTAGGATAGCAGAGATGGGCCAATTCAAAGCCTCAACTGGAGTTATGAATTATGTTCTCAGACAACAGATTCTGTGCTAATTTTTCCTGACTATTTAATTTAATTTTTCCACTCTGAATGTATTGATTACCAGTATTTATCTTGAATCCCCATCTCTCAATCCTCCAGTTGTTTTGGACCCATGGTGGCATTTCATACAGTATGTGGCCCAAAGAAAGCTAGCATTCACTTATACACCTCAAGGATGGACCCCTGTGAATGTCAATGGAATAAAACGGAAATTGAGACCCCAATGTTGTGTTGGTGTGGCAACATTTAAGTCTATCCTCGTAGGACCAGTTCAGCTGAATCAGCCAGCAACAAATATGGGGGTAGAGGAGCCAAAAAGGTTTGCCTGTCCTCTTGATTTTTTGACCTCCACTTCCTCCTGCAACTGTTGTTAGATCTTCAGGGAGCTGTCTAATTTCATCAAGGAGCAGACATGCTGCTGCTCCGGGTGTTGTTCAGTTAAGTCTCATCCCCTTCCATTTGCCAGGAGGTGATGGGACCAGTGGCCATCATCTTGGCTGTTGCTTTTTTTATGTTGAGCTTCAGACCGTTTTTGTGCTCTCCTCTTCAACCCTCATTAAGAAGTTCTTTAATTCCTCCTCACTTTCTGCCATCAGAGTGGTATCATCTCCATATCTGAGGTTGTCGATATTACTTCCAGAAATCTTAATTCCAGCTTGGGATTCTACCAGTCCTGCCTTTTGAATGATGTATTCTGCATATAAGTTAAATAAGCAGGTGGACAATATACAGCCTTGTCGTACTCCTTTTCCAATATTGAACCAATCAGTTGTTCCATATCCAGTTCTAACTGTTGCTTCCTGTCCCACATTTATTTATTTATTTATTTATTTATTTACTTACTTACTTACTTACTTACTTACTTACTTACTTACTTACTTACTTACTTACTTACTTACTTACTTACTTACTTACTTACTTACTTACTTACTTACTTACTTACTTACTTACTTACTTACTTACTTACTTACTTACTTACTTACTTACTTACTTACTTACTTACTTACTTACTTACTTACTTACTTACTTACTTACTTACTTACTTACTTACTTACTTACTTACTTACTTACTTACTTACTTACTTACTTACTTACTTACTTACTTACTTACTTACTTACTTACTTACTTACTTACTTACTTACTTACTTACTTACTTACTTACTTACTTACTTACTTACTTACTTACTTACTTACTTACTTACTTACTTACTTACTTACTTACTTACTTACTTACTTACTTACTTACTTACTTACTTACTTACTTACTTACTTACTTACTTACTTACTTACTTACTTACTTACTTACTTACTTACTTACTTACTTACTTACTTACTTACTTATTTATTTATTATTAGATTTTTACACTACCCCTCTAGACCATGTCTACTCGGGGCACATAAAGATTTATCAAACTAAGGTGGTCAGGCACTCCCACTTCTTTAAAGACTCCTCTCCAGGAAGTCTTCTCTTCTCATGTGATGGCCAAAATATTGGAGCCTCAGCTTCAACATCTGTCCTTCCAGTGAGCACTCAGGGTTGATTTCCTTCAAAATGGATAGGTTTGTTCTCCTTGCAGTCCAGGGGACTCTCAGGAGTCTCCTCCAGCACCACAACCTCCAGTTACTTCTCCATAAAAAGGTTCACCCTCGTGATTTAGACGTCCACTCCTTTTTTGTGAGTCCCCAAGCCTCGGACTTGAGGTCCTAAGACGCCCCAATAAACAGCACCATGAGTGCAAATGGACTTCAGGGGTAGGAGATCAAGATTCTAGAGTGAGAGCAAGGAAATCATGGGAAAAGTCTGGGGTTAGGAAGAGTGTGTGTTAGGAAATGGTGGAACATCACTCTGTAATATTTATTGTATTCCAAATAAATGGTCACTTCTGGCATCTTTCACTTCTAATTCAGTTTCACTCATGTCCAATAGGACCTCTGAGCAACTTTTAAGATTTAGATCAATCTGTTCAATCATTTTCAATATCTAACATGCCAATGTCTACTTATCACTGTGGCTTATGATCCATCTATTAGTGGCCAAAATTCCACTGTGTCGCTACACTTACATAACATGGGGTTGCATTAGCTGTTGTGGCACTGAAGAGAAAGTCATATCCAGAAAACAGTTCCATGGGCACAGTTGCACATTCAGTTCTGAGCGGGTTTTGGTGGTTCATTTTGCAATTAAACTGCACAATTTGTTTCATAAATAGATCTCTAGTGAGGCACACTGACTACCTGGGCATAACCCTCATGAACATACACTGGTAGAATTTTTCAGCCACTTAAAGACAATTGCAGCCACATGAGCTTGTTGTCTTATCTATATTTATAAAACTGAAACAGATCTCCATAATACAGATTTTCTGTTTTCCCCTCATTCTGTCAATATAGTTACAGTAGGCATCCTTCAGTCTCAAGAGACTATGGTTACATGCTCTGAATAGAGGTCTTGGAACAGCGCCTAGTGTGGCTGAGAAGGCCAATAAGAGAGTGACCACCCCTTCCACACTGAAGAAAAATACAACCTGTCCCTTGTACAGCTCCCTGACTCTGCTACTTTCCATGCTGCACCACCTGCCTCCAGGCTGAGCGCTCAGATGTCAAGGTTTCCTATCTGCTGAGCTCCATTCCTAAGGCCTCCAGGTCCTGCTTGCAGATCTCCTTGTATCGCAGCTGTGGTCTCCCTCTGGGGCGCTTTCCCTGAAATTTAGTGCTTCATCAGGAAAAACACATTTCAACAAAAGGTTCTGTTTTGCCCATGTAAATTAGCAATCTGGCTTCTCCTGAAAGAGAAAGGTTTCAGTGCTGGGTGTGCTCTGTCATGCTAAGGCCACTTTCGTTGGTTATGCACTATAGGGTTTCTCCCATTCGCTTAAACATCAGCATGTTCCATATATGAGAAATAACAGTCACTCTTTGGTATTAAATAAGGTTTTCACTAGTACTGTAACTCTTTTCACATTCCTTTTATCATGTATGGTTTTGCCCCTGGAACTGTTTCATGTCCAGTAAGACTTTCTCCTCTGTACGAGTTCGTTGATGTAAACAAAGGCTACTGATGAAACTGCAGCTCATTCCATGCAGTTATATGGTTTCTCCTATGTGGCTTCTTTGATGACTCCTGAGGTGATGGCTGCGACTGAAGTACTTTCCACATTTCATGCATTTATGTGGTTTTTCCCCTGTGTGAGTTCTTAGATGTCTATCGAGGATACTAGTTTGGCTAAAACTCTTTCCACATTCCATGCATTTATATGGTTTCTCCCCAGTGTGTGTTCTTTGATGTAACCTGAGACTACTGCTGTGTCTGAAACACTTTCCACATTCCATACATTCATATGGTTTGTCCAATGTGTGAGTTCTTTGATGTGAAACAAGAATCTTTCTGTCTCTGAAACTCTTTCCACATTCCATGCATTCATATGGTTTTTCGTCTGTGTGGGTTCTTTGATGTGAACTAAGTGTACTCTCACTGAAGCTCTTTCCACATTTCATGCATTTATGTGGTTTTTCCCCTGTGTGAGTTCTTAGATGTCTATCGAGGATACTAGTTTGGCTAAAACTCTTTCCACATTCCATGCATTTATATGGTTTCTCCCCAGTGTGGGTTCTTTGATGTTTAGCATATGATCCACTGTCACAAAAACTCTTCCCACATTCCATGCATTCATATGGTTTTTCCCCAGTGTGAATTCTTTGATGTAAACTAAGGTAACTGCTGCCACTGAAACTCTTTCCACATACCATGCATTTATATGGTTTCTCCCCAGTGTGAACTCTTTGATGTGAATGAAAGCTACTGTTGCAACTGAAGGTTTTTCCACATTCCATACATTTATATGGTTTCTCCCCTGTGTGAGTTCGTAGATGTAAACTAAGGGTATTTTTCTCACTGAAGCTCTTTCCACATTTCATGCATTTATGTGGTTTTTCCCCTGTGTGTGTTCTTTGATGTATATGAAGGCTACTGCTGTTACTGAAATCTTTTCCACATTGTGCGCATTTATATGGTTTCTCACCTTTGTGAATTTTTTGATGTTTACTCAGGGCACTGCTATTTTTAAAGCTCTTTCCACAGTTCATGCATTTATAATGTTTGTCTCCTGTGTGAATTGTTTCATGTCTACTGAGGATACTACTTTGGCTGAAGCTTTTTCCACATTCCATGCATTCATATGGCTTCTCCCCCGTGTGAGTTCTTTGATGTATAATAAGGCCACTACTTATACTGAAGCTCTTTCCACATTCCATGCATTTATAAGGTTTCTCCCCTGTGTGAGTCCGTAGATGTTTACTTAGGGCACTACTGTGACTGAAGCTCTTTCCACATTCCATGCATTCATTTGGTTTCTCCCCTTTGTGAGTTCTTTGATGTGCACTTAGGTTACAAAAGCTCTCTCCATCCTGTAGACATTTAAATGGGGTTTTTTTGGTCAGGATTTTTTCATGTGAAAAAGTATTATTCATAGTTATGCTGTTTTCCTGTTCCATGCTCTTTTGCTTCCCCCGCCAGCGGTCTCTTCTTTTTCTTCAACTCTAAGATATGTGTGAATGTATTTCTGCTGATGGGAAACTCACTCCTTTTTTTTCATATGGTCAGGAATTCTCAAACATCAAGATCCTGAGAGGCTGGATGTTTTTTCCTCTGTCATTGGCTGGCTTCTTTTCTGCCTTTTGGGTGTCTAAGTGCTTTGTTTCCTGCTCCACACCTAATTCTTGTCAGTGGCAGAACAAGTGGCTCCTTGAGATTCTCTTTCTCATGTCTGTGACCTGATGGAGGAAAAAGAGAAGATGCACGAGTGCAGCACAGACACAAATCTCACTACGGAGAAACATTACCTGACATAGAAAAGTGAGAGCGTCTGTCTAGGCTAGATATTTCTCAATTTTATGATATGTATCCAAGAGTAAAATTAAAAGTAGCTTAATGTTAGCATCAGATTAGTGCAGTTATGTGAAGAACAACATGGGGATTGTTTAATGGGAATGAGATTGAAGATAAAGAAGGCAACAAATGGTGTTACTAGAGAAAATACATTAAAATGGCACAGTTGCTCAGAATCGTTGAAGAGAGGAAATTGGCACCTCGGCCTACAAATCATGTCTTTTATGCCGGCAGAATCTTAGTGATTTTTCTCAAAGGAATACCGCATTTTGCGTCTTATGGAGTGAATACTATAAAAAAGGGTTCAGCCACCACCACCCAGAAGCCTCCCACCGCCATGCTGGGAGGCCTCTGAACCAGCACCAGAGCCTGCTTGCCATGGCAGCCGCATTGGACCTCACCACTCTGCCATCTGTGCTGCTGGCTTTCCAGGATCTGCCTCCTAGAGCCCACCTGGAAAACCAGCAAGGCCAACAGGCCTATGGTAGCAAATTTAAATGAGAGAGGGCAAATGAAAACAGCCAAGGACTGAAGGGGAAAGAGTGATTCTAGAAAGACCAGGGGAAACCACAAGCGCAGTCCCCCCACCACCACAAATTATACAGTGATTTTCCCACATTTGGGGAAATCACAGGGATCAGCACACCTGAAGTGCAATGGATGAGCCTCACCCTGGGAAAACCACTTTCGTGATCATGGTATCTCCCCTGCCAGGTATGAGTTGGAGTGACCCCTGCACCTCCTTCCCCCTTCTGTGCCCTGCCCCCCAAGGCATGGTGACCCCCTGGCTGCACCTCCTGCTCAGAACAGGGCTGCACAGCCCCAGTCCCGCCAGAGGCCAAGAGAACTCCTCAGTGTTTTCAGGTGCCCTGCGGGACCCCCATCAGGGGCTGGGTGTTCTTCCCACAATCCTCCAGTGCACAAATATTAGCATACCTAATGTGCGGGGAAGGCAGGGAAAGTGGGAAATTTTAGCGAAGAGGCTGTTTGTCTGCTTCCTTGCTTGTCCAAGCGGTTAGAACTGGGAGAGACACCTGGGATTGCCTGGTATTTAGTTTAAAAGCTGATTGTTTTGGGTTAAACCATGCTTGGGTGAAAAGGTGCTCTGTTCGAGTTGAAACCTGCTTGTGTAGAAACGTTCATGCTTGCCTTAAAAATCTGCTTGTTTTTCTTTAAAAGCTGCTTGTTTTGGCTTAAACCATGCTTGGGTGAAAAGGTGCTCTGTTCGAGTTGAAACCTGCTTGTGTAGAAACGTTCATGCTTGCCTTAAAAATCTGCTTGTTTTTCTTTAAAAGCTGCTTGTTTTGGCTTAAACCATGCTTGGGTGAAAAGGTGCTCTGTTCGAGTTGAAACCTGCTTGTGTAGAAACGTGTATACTTGCTTTAAAAGCTGCTTGTTCTGCTTTACAAGCTGCCTGAGATGCCTTTCAGAGGGAGGGGGAAGGAGTGGAGAAGAGCACAAAATGGCTACCAGCTGCCTGCTGAGTGCCGGCTTTTATCTGTTTAGTGCTCGTTTTTGGCTGCTGGGCTATCAAGGCACTGTGAGAAGCCAGGCTCAGTCTACAGTACCTGGTGACTTTCTTTTAATTTTTAAAAAGTTTCTGACTTTTTTTTCCCCATAGGAATGCATTAATTAATTTTCAATTCATTCCTATGGGAAATTTGGATTCGACTTACAAACCAACTAGTTCTGGGCATCTAATAGAGAATGTATTTCCCAACGGTGTTGCAGCAAGGAAACTGTGTTTTATGCGCCAGAACACAAACTTGGCTGCTGATCACAAATTAACCCTGCATACATGGGAAAGTAAAATTCAGTCTTACTTTTAGTTGTTTCCATGTCCTTATGGTTGTGGTATCTCTTTGATGTATCTAAATCAGAACAGGGCCAGGAAATCCCAGAGACAGGGCATAGTTATTTGGTTAGTGCTTTTGGAACAGAGTTCTTGCCCGTAGCACATACTACATTTGCTGATACAGTAGTTTGAAAATTAAGAAAGTCAAAATTTTTCGTGACTTCTAACTGGATTAAAGTACCTGCTTCCTGATTTCAGCTACTATAGTTTGTATTGTTTTTTTGGCTCGCCAAGAACATTGTTCCTGGCTTTGTGTTCTGTTGTGCCTTGCATGCTATAAATGTTCAATTATGTCAGAAAACTGAGATTTGGTCTTATGCTGAGCATGTGCTACAGCTGGTAAATGGGTTAAGCTTTGTGTTGCTGTTTTTTTGCATAACCTAAAGTAAATAAGGAAAACCAGCTGTTAAATAGTTTA